TCTTTCCTCTTGAACTATTGCTTTTCCCCCTACAAGTAAAGTTGATAAGTTGAAATTACTATTCAGAGTTACAATGTAATCAGTTTCCTATTCAATGACTGTTCAAATCCAGAATAAATTGCCACCATCCTGTCCCACCCTGAGTACAGCTCAGGCACTACTGTGGCTCCAGGTGCTAAAGGCTCCTCCATCCAGCCTCCAATCAAAGCAAGAGTAGGCTCTCCTCCTCCTCAGAGAAATTTCAGAAGGAAGAAGCCCTTTGGAAATGACTTGGCCAACTGAGAAACTTGTCAGCATTTCTAAGTAGTTGTAACTCTCCTCAGAGCCAAACATGCCCCTTCGGTTTCTCAGGCTACTTTATCAAAGCTGTAGAGAAGATTTTGTGCAATGTTTCTCAGGACCAGTCTTAAAATTGTTATTAGTTCTAATCCATCAAGGACTGACATTTGTGAAGTTCACTAAGAAAATGAGATTTTTTTTTAAAGGCATGTAAAATTAAATCCCCTCCTTTTATTATTTTGGGTGGGACTGGGGTTTGAACTCAGTGCTTTGCACTTGCAAAGCATGCACTCTACCACTTGAGCCATACCTCCATTCATTTTGCTGGGATTTTGGAGACTGGGGCAGGGTGGGGTCTCATGAACTATTTGTCTGGGCCGGGCCCACACTACAATTCTTCCAACCTCAGCCTCCCAAGTAGCTAAGATTACAGGTGTGATCCTCAGTGCCCGACTTTAAATCCCAATTTTTTAAGATTAGATCAGACACTGTCAAATTGCTCTTAAAGTTCCTAAGCCTTTCCTCTTTGTTTTTATCCTTCTCTCATTATGGGCCAGTAACAAAATGTTCTGTAGACCACACTCTGAGGGGCACTCTCTACAGTACATAAGGACACTATACACTACAGTATGTCTGAACAATATAGCTAGCAAATTCAAATACTATACACTTGAAACCCAGCACTCAGCACAAAAAGAGGCCTTAAGATTCCCCGAACAACCAATTTCAGTTTCATAGATCAAGGACCTTTAAAAATTTTTTGCCATGGTTAAGAGTTTCACAGAAGCCTTTACTTTTCCAAATTCTGATTTCTAAGCAAGTAGAATTCATAGCCAGTGGTTAAGAAACAAAACCAAAACAGAAGAGCCTTTTCAAAATATACACCCCCCAGTTAACAACTACCGTAATGACCTTCTAATTAAACTGTGTCTTCTACAATGAAGCACCCCTAACAGACTCAGCTACTGCCAACCTATTAAATGTCAGACTCTCCTAGATGCTTGACATGGAGCAATTCAGTCAACTCTATAAATTAGATATTCCCTTCATTTTATTTAATGCGCAAACACTGGGAGACATCCCAGGCCTCACTGAGAAGCACTTGCTGAGTGAGATTACATCTCAAGTCTGTGGGCTCCACCACATTTATGTTGCCACCAAAAAATCATTTCCAATTTGAAATTCAACATTAAGTACTACAGGATGCTTCGCAGAATCGAGTATCATCTTTACAGTGTGGTGCCTTAGAAGCTACACTGCCTGGGTTTGAATTGCAGCTCCGTGGGCAAAGTTCTCTTCTGTCAAGGGGAGAGAATACCTTCATCATGCCACAACAGGGCAAAGGAGGTAACTCATGATGAGCACAGTGCCTGGGCACACAGTAGGCCCTCATGAACATTAGCACTCTTGTCACTGTTATTCCCTGGAACTTGCTCTGCTACTTACTTAGGTCACCGAGGCTTTCTTGGTTTTCCTCTCTTCCCATTTCCAATCACTTAGCAGTACTAATAACTCTGTCTCAAATATATCAGTGTCTTTGCATTTTCACTGTCACCACCCCAGTCTGGTCACCACTATTGGTTCTGGATTTGCCACTATACTTGCCTCTCTGGTTCCTTCCTGCAGTGTAACTGAAGGGGTATGGAGACCTTTGGATGCTGGGAGAGAGGCACATCCAGAGAGAGCATCCCCCAACCCTTATCTTGCTCTATACATCCTTTCATCTGGTCATTTCCAAGTTAAAACCTCTACAATAAATATAAGTGAAGTGTTCCTGAGTTCTTCTAGCAACATATAGAACTTGAGGAGAGGATCAGGAGAATCCCTCAACTTTAAAGCTCATACTTCCATGGAAGTATGGGAAGCCCACACTTAAATTAAGCCCCTTGCCGAATGCTAGTGGCTAATGGCTGTAACCCTAGCTACTTGGGAGATAGAGATCAGGAGGGCAGTGGTTTGAAGCCAGCCCGGGCAAATAGGCTCAAGACTCTATCTCGAAAACATCCAACACAAAAAAGGGCTGGTGGAGTGGCCCAAGAGGTAGAGAGCCTGCCTAGCAAGCCCTGATTCAAATCCCACTTCCACAAAAAAAAAAAAAAAAACCAGAAAAAAAAACCCACACAAAATAAATCAAGCCCTGACTTTGGGATGTGAGACTGATACCAGGAAGTTACTATAAAAACCAAATCACACTGTAGGTCACCCAGCTGGTGCCTGGAAAATTGGAGAACTGGTTGTTGGTGTGAGGAAAGTCCACAACACATTTGGTGTCACAAGTGTTCTGTGAGCTGGGCATGGTGACACACATCTCTAATTCCAGTTACTCAGGAGGTAGAAGCAGGAAGATATCAAGCTTGAGGATAGCTTGGGCAGTTAGCAAGACCCTGTCCCCAAAATAAAAGGGCTGCGGGTATGGCTCAAGGGTAAGTACTTGCCTAGCAAAGCGATGCCCAGGGTTCAGTTGTGTCCATTAAGAAAAACAGTATTCTGTGAGTAACAAATCAGGAATCCCTGACAAAGGCCACAGAGGCATCACTTGGGTGCCCATGCACTTTGAGTTCACCCTGATCCTAGTATCTGTCACACTGGATTGTAGTCAGCACTTCCCTCCTCTGCCTCCCCCACTCATAAGCTGCTGGTCAGTCCTGCTAGATGTCTCTGCAGTACACAGCAGTGTTATGCACATGTTTTCACAACAAATGTGTTGGTTCTATTACTCAGCTATTAACTTGGGAAAAAATAAATTAAGTCAAAGCCCAAGCAAAGCACCAGAACATTTAGCCTCTAGGCTTCAAAGTCGAAAGAGGAGGAGCAGATGGAGGTATATTGTAGCACGTGTGCCTGGGGCATGGCCTTAGGCTGACCTTCAGGCAGGGTAGGGCAAGTTCTGCCTCACTTTATCTCTCTGCTTGGCTAGCAATCAATCTGCCACATGCTGCTGCCGGGTTCCCTGCTACCGGATCACACACAATACAACCAACCGAGGTGGTCAAGAGTCCAGCACACAGCAGGCTGCTACTTCCAAAAGGCACACTGAGAGCTAAATTCAGGCCAAAAAATTAAGACACTCTTGTATGCAAGCTGACAAACTATCTCTTCATTGCTCAACCAGGGATAACTATTGCAACTTGTAAGGATTTTGGACTATACCTCAAGTTTGACATTTCCTCACTGTTGTGGTTTGGGTTGTGTCCCCTGAAAAGATATGATTGAGTCCTAACCCCATACCTATAAATGTGACCCTATCTGGAAATGATCTTTGCAAATATAATGGAGGCCATGTTGGACTGCGGTGGGCCCTAAACCAATGTCTGGTGTCCTTCTAAGAGGAAGGAAACTTGGACACAGACACAGGAGATAAGCCATGCAAAGATGGAGGCAGAGACTGGAGGGATGTACCTACAAGCCAAGAAGTACAAAGGAGTCCAGCAGCCACCGGAAGCTACAGAGGGAAGGAAGGATCCTGATTCTTCCCTAGAGCCTTTGGAGGGAGCAGGGCCCTGCTGACATCCTGACTGGAGCCCCAGTTTGTGGAACTTGGTTAAAGTAGCCCTAGGAAACTAATTCACTCAAAGAAGCAAAGTTAATTGGCTCCTTCTCCAATTAACTTCTCCATAGTCTGAGCCATCACACTGAATAAAAGATATATCACACATTCTTTAAGAGCATTAAATCTAGACTCAAGGTTTTGTATTTTTTTTTTAAACTTAGTTTTCTTCCACAAAAATAGCTTTCTACAAATCAAGCCAATCTTTCTCTAACATGCCTATTTAGAGAAACACATTAATATTTTATGTTTCCAACCAAGCCAGATGCATATTAACCTAGAGCTAGACACCATTCCTAATCACAGGAAGAGAATGCAAAAGGAAGCCAAAAACATATTTCCACGTCTTTTTTAAATGGACATTTCCCATACTTAGTGTTGCATATGCAACCAGGAACAGAAGCCAACTGGTTTTCAGCTACCAAATGAAATCTGGTTTGAATGTGTGCATGCATACATATGCGTGCGCGCACACACACACACACACACACACACACACACACAGAGTGTGTTTGCAAGCACAGTGTACACACTGGCTATGGTAGCTGCAATTATCAACTCCATACCTAAGCAGCCACCTCCAAACCAAGTTCTCCCACATAAACACATTTCTGGCTTATCATCCTGTGTAGTATCTTAATACTCAGCCCTGGATGATCACTGACACCCCTGACACCCCGTGGCCATGACTGGTCAACTTCCAGTTTCACTGTCATTTGCTTAATCTTTAAAAGTGTCATGACCCAGCTGCATTCTTTGGTAACAATAGCTAAAGAGGCAGACAACATCATTTAGCCTCGAAGTAGTCCCAAAGAAAGAAGATATTCTTTCTGGATTTGAATGCATTATTAACTAATTGTCCTGAAAGTAATTTAGGAGACATAATAAAGAAAAGACTTAAGAGACATCTAAGTCACTCTCATAATTTTTACCTATGGCATGATGGAAGTCTCCAGTTTGTACCAGGAACACTAAGTATTTGAAAAAGGAAAGCTCATTTTCAGAGATGAGGTCTTATTTTGAGGTACTGTCAATCACTACCACATAGTCAGGAGACACAGAAGTACCTCCAACACAGCAGGAAGAACACCCGCACAAGAGCCCTAGATCTTCCAATCTGCACTGGCAATGGTATGCATTTTCAAATGGAGCAGGGAAAGTACAGATGGCTCACCTCTGCACAGACGGGGTGGATTCCAATAGTGCTGTCCAGCTGCTCTTTGGTCAATCCACATTTGAGTGCAGCTGCGAAGCCCTGTGTCACTTCTCCAGCATTTGGACCCAATACATGAAAGCCCACAACACGCTCCTAAGATATAAAATAAAGTAATGGAAATAAGCTCGTTTTTCTTCCCGTCTCCTCCTATACAGTCTATTCTAAAACTCATCTCAGAAATGGCCAGACTTGGATGAATGCTTACTGCTCAAAGTTGTTTAGGCTAAAGATTCCCTCACATAGGCCTATACGGGAAATATGAAGTTCACAGCAAGCAGAAAGGAAAAGACAAGGGCTGCGAGTCACAGTGAGGAAAAAAAACCCCAAAGCAAAAATGTCTGCAGCAACTTAAACACCCAAGTGTTGCTGGGAATGTTATCTGATGGTCTAATTGACCGTGTCTGTGATAACTGTTAGCTATAAGTGCAGTCACTCAAATTAAGAAATCATTTAACTCAGGTTCTGGTGAAAGAAAAAGCAATGACAGATTGTCAAGACTCTTCCAAAATGAAAACACTTTTGAAAGCAAAAGGAAAATGTCTGACAACTCTGAAACCCCTGGGTGGCAATTATTTTGGACAAATTCTAAATTCCAAATTCAGGAAACCTCTGCCAAAGGCAGAGAAATCTGGTGCATTCTAGGGTACAGCTGACAGATTTTCACAGCGACTCTGACTTCACTAGACTATCTAGGCTAATCTTCTCAAAACAGATTAGGCAAAGCAGGCTATGGCTGCAGAACTTGCCAAGAGTCAGTGGTTCCATGAAAGCAATGGAAAGGTCCCTCTGTTGCCCAAGTGCTGACATATTTATTCTATGTTAGTAATCAGAAATTTAGGGTGTGGAAAAAGGGAATCTATCTGGTGAATTACCACAAAGCACTTAACATATACTAGACTTACATGTTATAATGTGGGAAAACTCTCAAAAAATAATGAGATCTAGAAAACAAGGTATTTGGTTCTATTTACTGAGGATGATGCTCTGAATTAAACCACAGAAAACTGTATAATGTTTCTGTATATATAAATACATAGCAAACATAAAAACATGAACAGGAAAGACACTGCAACTTCAGGAGTGAAGGAATACAAAAGACCATACTAGCAGGGGTAAACAGTCACTAGCATAGACTATACACTGCTCCACTGCCTAGAACTGAATTCCAGCTCTGCCATTAACTAGGTAAATAATTTGGACACAATCAATCCACTTTCATTTGCTTCAGTTTCTTCATCTATTAGAATGGGGGGAACAAAAACACATACCTCATGTAATTGTGTACAGATTATAAAAGTTACTACTACTGATGCAATAAGTTAATACTAATGTAGACCCTGAAGTAGTGTCTGAGTAAGTGCTCAATGATTATAAGCTACTTTAAACTGCATCTGCGGTAAGGTATCTCTTACAAGACAAAAGCTCTATAGCAAATATGGCAAAAATGTTAATGCTCACTGCATCTGAATGGTGGATCTTTCCCCTATCTTTACATATATTTCGCTTTTTTTTTTTTTTTTTTTCTGGAATGAGGGGGAGGGTAGGGGAGAATGATAGAGGGGGTGAATTCAACTATCATATATTGTAAGAACTTTTTGTAAATGTCACTTTGTACCCCTAGTACAACAATAATAAAAAATAAAATCTTAAAAATATACATATATTTCGCTAAAAAAAAATGGCACAGAATAAAAACTCCTAGGTTTAAAATGAAGATCATTTAGACCTGTGAAATCAGATGACTGGCTCACAATGAGGAAAACAGGCCCCAAGGATAGTCAAAAGTTCTAGAAGCATGCCTCTGCATCAACCTGCTCATGACAAAAGAACAGTGACAAGTACAGACCCTCTCTATTACTATCCTTTTCTATGAAAATGTTATGCTCTCAGCTGTTTTAAGGCAGGTTTCATGGTAGTGAAAGTTAAATTATTTTTTTACATTACAAAAGTAATACCATTTGAATAAATAATAGAACAGTGAAAAAAGGAAAAATAACTCCATATAGTTAAAGCAGATTTGGTTGGTAATTCATAAAGGAAATTTCTGAGGTTTCATTTTGCTCCATGTGGACTGGAGAAGTGGCTGAAGTGGTAGAACACCTGCCCAGCAAATGCGAAGCCCTGAGTTCAATCACCAGTACCACCAAAAACAAAACAAAACAAAAATCAATGTAATTCATCCATTTTGTTCCATGTAACTGAAGTCTCTCTCACTCTTTTAGAGGCATAAAACAGACCATGAATGCAAATACCTGGTATTTTCTTTTATCTCTAGTAGAATGGTTATTTGATGGATGTTGATATATTAAAACTTTTGTCTACAAAGAAAAACCCTACATATACTTCACTGTCAATGGCATAGTTGTCTATGAGTAACCCTAGTGTATTCATTTAGTAAATGCCTCAGTGATGACTTTTTTATAGTAGGCAACATGTCCTAACACTCTGTACTGTGCAACAACAATCTGCACATGTGCTTCTGTCTGCAGCAGAAGTTTCTATACAGGACACACAGCTTAATTATAACCAAACCTCAAGGTTAAAGAAAGAGTAATTAGGGTTATAACATATTATAGTATTATTATTATTTTCCTGAAGGCATTTTTTAAGGTATTGTGCCAGATAAATTAAAAATTTACAGTTTTCTAAGATTCAATACAGTACTTACACAGAGCATGTACACCTGTGTCCTGGGTCATTAAAGTAAGGCAGCAGTGGAAGGGTTTGAACAGCACTGATTTATTGAGTCCCTTACTCTCTATGGAGGAAACAAATCCTGCAAAGGTGAAGGAGCTGGCCCACAGGCTTAGTTACTAGGGACGACATGTTACAGCAGGTAATGGAATCTCAATGTGGAACTCAATTAAGGGCTCCTCCCCTTGTAGTTTTCTCTTTGCTGCTGGCACCCCTCCAGTTCTACTTGGTTTTTCACTATTTCAGACAGTCAATGACTTCATGGATCCTCACTTACAAACAAAGAAAGACCAAGGTGTCCCCTGAGTTTCTTCACTCTGTGAGGTTTGACTGACCGACTGCTGATGCTGTGTAGGGCCCTGTGCCAGTAAAAATGAGGGGAGAGCAAGCAGTGGACACCAGACCCTGGCCCTCTGAAGGCATCCACACAATTGGGGAGATGGAGGTGAATTACTACTAAAGGAGCACCACATGGCCAAAGCAGAACTAAACATCAAAAGGTAAATGAAAGAGCAAGAAGGGATTAAATGAGAGCACTACTTACACTGTCTTTAAGGTTGCAGATTATTTTTGCATAACATTTGTTGTTATCTCTTGATGGAACTGTCCACTCCAAAGGCCAAAAGAAACTATGGTAAACCTAAGAGGATATAAGCAGAGTTTAGATGTGTCATCTTTAGTAGCTTGTTGTTAAACATTAGGCAATATGATGAATGACTGCGGAGGCTCTTTAACAATCAAGTTTTCAAAACAGTAAAACTCATGGGTTAAGTAGGATCTGGTAAAAAGACAAATAACTTTAAAAACTCCTTTATGTCAGGCATTTTTTGCTATAAGCTTACCCCTTAATTATATCTCAACCTCAAAAGTAAACCTTAAGTAATAATAAAAAAATGAAGGAATGAAACTATGCAATTACTGTCTTGCTTTTAAAAATAACACAAAGAACTCACTACCATCTTGCTACTTTATACAAATGACAACTTTGGGAAAGAAACAAGTAAGGTGCTAGGAACAATTATAGCAATTATCCTAGTTCTCTTGGCTCAATGCTTCCAAAAGACATTTCCTCCTTTGGCATTAGTCACCAACATCACGGGAGGAAGAAAGAAAGGAAAGGAAGAGGGGAGGAGGAGAGGGAGGGAGGACAGACATGCTTATTGATGTTGACTGGCTACCTTTTAAAAGCACACTGAATATGATGACGTGGCCATTAGTCTGCTGTGTAATGTCATTTCCTTTTTATAAATGTGGGTTACAAAGTTGAATGTACAGTATCACAATGATTATGTATAGGGAAAAGATTTGAGGAAATTATCCCAAACTGTTAACAACTGCTGCATTATAGACAAAACCTATGAGAAATTTTGTTTTTGGTGGTATTCTGGGGTTTGAATTCAGGACCTCATGCTTGCTAGGCAGGCACCCTACCACTTGAGCCACACCCCCAAGTTCTTTTTTTGGCTTTTTGATGCAGGATCTTAGCTTTATATTTCAGAGTGGTCTCAAACTCAGTATGTAGCTGGGCTGGTCTTGCAAGTATACCTCTATGCCTGGCTGTTTCCTACTTCCTTACTTAAATTTTTCAAAATTTCTTCAACACAAACATGTTATGTTTGGGAAGAAAAGAGCAAATTAAAAAAAGAAAGCTCAAGATTACTTATCAAGAAATAATGGAATTTTTGTTAAGAATGTTAAAATTTAGATACTTTGATAGGCAATTAGAGAAAAAAAGGCAGATGAATTACAAAGATGTTCACTATTTAAAACTGCAAAAAAAGAAAAACTGTAAACAACCTAAAGAAGAATAGTTTAACAAATTATAGTACGACATCCATAAAAAGGACTATTATACTTTTTTTTTTTTTTTGTGGTACTGAGATTTGAAATCTAGGCCTCTCGGTTGCTAGGCAGGTACTCTTCCATTTGAACCATGTCCCTGTCCCCTTTCGCTTTAGTTATTTTTCAGATAGGGTCTTTCATTTTTTGACCTGGCAAGCCTGGACTGTAACCCTCCTACTTAACGCTTCCCATGTGCCTGGAATTATAGATGTGAACCACTAAGCTCAGCTTTATTGCTTAGATGAGGTGGTCTTAATTTTGCACAGAATGGCCTTGAACTATGATCCTCCCCATCTCTGCCTCCCTATAGCTGGGATTACAGGTATTAAGTCATCACACCTGGCTTATTATATATGTAAAAAAAATTTTTTTTTTTTTTTTGGTGGGACTGGAGTTTGAATTCAGGGCTGTTAGGATGCAAAGCAGGTGCTCTACTGCTTGAGCCACATAAAATGGTATTTCTACAGAACTGAAGGACAAGAGAAAATGTTATGTCTATGACATAACATCAATATTACCATAGGACAGAAAACTACAGGTAGCTTAATCAGACTTTGATGTAGGTGCCCAAAGAAAATACATACATACATACAATATAAAAACACAAGTTGAGCTCTCCAGTCCGAAAATCTAAAATCCAAAACGCTCCAAGATCTAAAATCCAATGCTGACGTGACACTCCCAAGTGGAAAATTCCATTCCTGACCTCAAGTGACAGATCATAGTTAAAATGTAGGTGTGTTAAAAATATTTTATAAAATTACCTTCAGACCATGTGTTTAAGATATACATGAAACATAACAGAAATTGTTTAGTCTTAGGTTCAACCTCAACATCTCACTACATATATGCAAACATTCCAAAAGCCAAAAACATTCAAATCAGAAACACTTCTGGTCCAAGCATTTTGAGTAAGGGGTTGTCAAATACTTAAGAGAAAAAGAGACTTTAAGGAAATATGCAAAAATATTAACAGCAGCTATCTCTTCAGAATTAAAAATTCCTTTCTGACAGTTTCCTAATTTTTCAAACTTTCTATATGAGGATACACAATTTTTATAATCATAAAAATATTAATAATGTATTCCTAATAATATTACATGCCATTACCCACCCACATGATAGTTAAAACAGGCTTTCTATCTTAAAATTGACTTTTATTCATCCATCTGCTCTCTTATAATCATAAAAAAATTTACAAATAATGTATTCCTAATAGACTAAGATATTACATGCTGTTACCCATGTGATATTTGAAATAGACCTTCTATCTTAAAATTGACTTTTATTCACCCATCTGGTCTTCTAAAGTTTTATTGTAAATATTTTTCCCAAGTGCTTTAAAACAGCAGTACTGGATGAGGGAGAGAGACGGTGGGGGTGAACTTAACCAAGGTACGTTGTTGTCAAAATAAATGTCCCCCTGTACAATTAATGTATGCTAACAAATACGTTTAAAAAAAAAAAAGAAAGAAAAGCATCACACACACTCCCCAAATAAATACATATGCAGGAAAAAAATAAAACAGCAGTACTTTCAGGGAGCATTATTTTTGTGTATTTCACAAGTATTTTCCCTATCTGATAAAAGATGTGTGGCAAAGTTAGTACAAATTAGCTAGGTATCTGGGCTCATGTCTGTAACCACAGTTACTCAGGAGGCAGAGATCAGGGGATCAAAGTCAACCTGGACAAATACTTTGTGAAACCGTATTCTGAAAAAAGCCAACACAAGAAAGAGCTGGCAGAATGGCTCAAGTAGTAGAGCACCTACCTAGCACACACAAGAGGCTGGTTCAAACCCTGGTACCACCCAAAAAAAAAAGCTAGTACAAATTAGAGGGTAATGGTAGAAACACAACAATTATTAATTATGGTCAGAGTAGTAGGACTATAACTAATTTTTAGGCTTTTTTCTTCTCATTTTGTTACACCTTTTATATTTCCAGAAATAATTTGAAAAGAAATCAATAAATGTGGTTTTTTAAGCAGAAGAAATTATTGAGTCATCTGGCAAAACTGGAGAATGAAAGGTGAGTTGGATTAAAGTGTTATATCAATATTAAATTTCCTAAAAGTGTTGAGGATACAGTAGTTACATAAGAAAATGCCAGACTGGGGGTGTGGCTCAAGTGGTAAAATGCTTGCTAATCATGCTAAACGTCCTGGGTTCAACACCTCAAAAAAGAAAAAAGAAAAAAATGCCCTTGTTCACAGGAAATACACACTGGGTATTAAGGGATAAAAGGAGGACTCAACTTATTCTGAAATGGTTCAGGGAAAAAAACACACAGACAGATAAAGAGACTGTAAAAGATAAATAAAATAAATGGGCAAAATGTAATACATGAATCCAAATAATGGTTATATGGTTCTTTGTAGTATTTTTCAAATTTTTTTAACTAGAGCCTCAAGTTTCCTAGGCAGGTGTCCTGCCACTTGAGCCACTCCTCCAGCCCTGTTTTGTATTATTTTCAAGACAGAGTGTCACGAACTGTTTGCCTGGACTGGCTTCAAAATTGTGATTCTCCTTATCTCTGCTTCTTGAGTAGGTAGGATTATAGAACTGAGCCACTGGCACCTACCTCAACTTTTCTATATACATGAAATTACTTTAAAACTTTCAAGAAAAAAATAGTAACTTAACATACTAGAAGAGAGGAAAAGGAGAATTTACCTCAATATTTTCTTCCCCAAATTTCTCCATAGCTTTCTCTTCAGAAAGACCACAACAGCCATATTCCAAAGGAGTAAATACAGTTGTTGGAACATTTTCATAGTCACACTGTTTCAAAACAGAGGAACAAAAGAATTATGATAGGCAAAATTGTAACTTAACCCCTCCTTGCTCCCAAAAAGGTTGTACTTCAAAAAGGTTCAAAATTAGGAAAGGAAAGCAAAACAAGCAGAGTTCCAGTCTCAGGAATTAACTTGCACACTGATACCATCAGCTTATGTGAAAGTGAGAAGTCTTTGTTGAGACTTGACTCTGGGGGGCTTCTCTGTCCACCTATGAACTGATGTTACCAGTAGGGCCACCTTTTCTCCCCTTAAGCAGCCAAGCACAATATAAGGGCGCCTAGTACTGAGAATCTTGTATTATCAGTGACAAAAATTAACAGTATTTTGTGGAGCATCAGTTAGGTACTATGTATCAAGAGCCATAATGACAATTCACATCTTTGCTTCAACAATCGCACTTCAAAACACCTGTCAATCAGCTGAGTGGCTCGTGTCTCTCTTTTTAGAAAGGACAGGGGAATAATGTCTGAATAGTAGTATAAACCATTCTGCATACTGATATCTTTACCTAAATCTTCAAATCTTTTAATAGTCTAGATAAATCCCAAAAACTATCTTAAAAAAAAAAACTACTTTTTAACAGTGAACTGAAGTAAAATGCAACTATTACATGTATATGGAACATAATAAACTCTTTTTATTCTTAATGTAATTCCAAAAATGACTATTTTCATAGTGAAGCTACAAATGTACAGCATCCTAACAATGTACTGTTTGGAACACAGCTGATAAAGCCACTGCAAAACTGCTAAATTATCCAAGACTTGAAAGACTTCCCAACTGCCCCCTCAATACGGAACTAGGATGATTATAAAGAGTATTTCAGCGTGACAACTGCAACACTGACCTTGACAGTTGAGCCAGCATAAAGTCTCTGAGCCAGCAATCTTCCTGCCTGGATGGCCACTGGGGTGAGCTCCAGCTTTCCCTCCAGTATGTCACCAATGGCATAGATGTAAGGCACACTGGTCTGTTCCTCATCCGTGACAGGTATTTTTCCAGTCCTACAATATGTTAAGTTAAAATCATCACCAACCACTATTGTTAATTGAGTAGAAGTGCTCTCCTAGAAGCCCCAACTGACTCCAGTTGAGAACAATGTTCTAAAAACAAAACAAAAAGAAGCTCCAAAGGACCAAAATACTTAGTGACAATCCTGGCCACTATTGTGAAAATCAAAGAAATGAGAAAACTTACATTATGCTGATTAAGAAAGAAAGTTCTAAATTATAATAATCAACAAAACAAAACAAAGCCAGAAAACATTAATGTCAGTGGCACTAAAAGAGGAGTTTTCTAAGCCTAAAAAGGAAATGCTCCAAATATAGTAGAAATTAAAAACCAAAAACTCTAGGATTGATCAGTGCTGTAAAAAGCTCAAATGGTACTAAATATGACATTATTTTTTCTTACTTTTCATTTATCTTCACACCCACAGTGTCTAAGCCAATATTTCTTGTACAAGCATCTCTTCCTACTGCCAGCAACACCTGAAAAATTAATATAATGTTGACTATTAACAAAAACCATTACATGGATTATTTAATCATTTTTCTAATTTCATTTTCAATCTCTGGAAATAAATATTTCATTTAAAAAACTGTGTAATGGGAGCAGTGGCTCATGTCTGTAATTCCAGCTACTCAAGAGACAGGGATTGGGAGGATCATGGCTTGAAACCAATGCAGGCAAAAAAATTAGTTGGATGCCATCTCAATCAGTAAGCCAGGCACGGCAGTGCATACATGCAATCCCAGCTACTTGGGGAGTCTTCAGGTAAGAGGATCAGGGCTCAAGGTCAAACCTGGGCAAAAATGTGAGACCCTACTGAAAAACAGTTAAAGCAAACAAGGACTGGGGGAATGTCTCAAGTGGTAGAGCGCCTGCCTAGCAAGTGTTAGATCTTGAGTTCAAACCCTGGTACTGCCATCAGTCAATAAATAAAATGTAAGTTTAAATAAATTACACTTTTAATTTAAAAAAACACTTTCAACATGACATAGCAAAAATCCTTTTTCATTTCTTATTAAAAGAAAGGAAGTCAATGCCTTAATAAACCTTAACAAGCTTAGCAACAAAGCCTGCTCAGTATATGACTGAAGACCGAGTTAAGCTGTTTTCTAAGTGGTAGGCTGGGGAGATAAAAGTGAAAAACAGGGGATACAGAAATCAGAGTTCATTAAAAACTTGTGCTGCCTTTTTTGTAGCCAAACAATATTTTAAGTTACAGTAGAGAAAATCTGAAGCCTTTCTTTTGCCAAAACAAATTCTAGTATCAGAAGAACTGAGATTTCTTGAAACAGACATAGGACCCATGCATTTTAGATATAGCAATCAGTCATTCCAAGTACACAACAGACACATTAATAAGCACATTATCTGTCTTCTGATGAAACACTAACCTGAGCCCACTTCTTACCGTATTATACTCTCCTTCGATGGTTTCCTCACTACTGGTGGACTGAGCTATTACCCTGAGTCGGCCAGGTGTCCCTGCTTCAATTTGTTCAACCTATAAAAGTGGTAACAGTTTTGCTCTGAAACAAAGACATTTATCAAGGAGGATAACTACACCTTCCCTTTCTATTTGGTTAACACAAGGTTGAAACAAAATCTGGTTTGCAAGGTCTTTTACTTCCCCTCTCCCTCACCTTAACATCATTAGGATAAGTGATTCTTTTATTTATCCCCTTTGTTCTCACTACATAATGTTGTTCGCTAAAGGTGCTTTTTTGCAAGTAGTTATTAAAGAGCAAAGTTCAGAGAGAAAATAAGAACGAAGCAAACCAGAGAAAGCACACCAGTCTCTAAAAGTAAACCGATGACTTACTGCTTTTCCCAGATTCCTATCTTGTAATTTCTCCAAAGCCATCAGTCCCATGGACAACCACTGCTGCCCAAATTCAGATTCCCTTTAGGCTACAGATGTTCAGCACATTGATGAAGAATAAATACTGCATAGGTCAACAATGATAAAGTAACAGCCGGAAAGGCCTAAAAGTCATAGTGGGCAATGAGCTGTGTGTGTTTATCAGAAGTAGAGGTTCAATGGTTATTAAGGATGCAGAAAGGAATGAGCAAGTCCTGATACTTGTGCCATGGCAAGAGACTGAAAATATTGATCTTTTGAATATACTGGAAGTCTTTGCTGTGTAAATTAAACTGTTTTATATTTGGAGAGGAGTTGAAGTGGTCCACAGCTTAGATTTGTTTCAAAAAGGCAGGTAAAGGGCCTCATCTAGCCTCTACCCGTTTACTTTTGTGCTCCGATCAGGCCTTTTCTGTATCTAAACAATTTTCCTCCACTCAGAACCTTTCTGCACACAGTAAGGTTTCCAAGCAGTATGTACTCTCCCACCTCTCCACAGAAGGCCACTTCCACTCAGTCGCTTTCTTGTACATCAAGAGCTCATACTCACCTAATGGGAATGAGATACCAGAGTAGCCTGAGTTTATTAGGCACAATCCACTGGTTTTTCAAAAGAGCCTACATTATATATTCTAAAATTTTATATATATATATATATATATATATATATATATATAGAGAGAGAGAGAGAGAGAGAGAGAGAGAGAGAGAGAGAGAGAGAGAGAGGGGAAGCTGTGGCTTTTCTAAATATGCACATACACAGAGCTGTCTCCTAAGCATTACTAATGCAAACATAGCATCTACACCTTGAGAATAATCAAGTACTGGTAACTCTAGGGAACTGTGCATCCTCACAACAACAACATGAGACAGATTCACTTTAGACTTATTCCATGCCAGGCACCACTCAATCACTGTGACCCTCTTAAGAACTGAGATCAGTGCTGTTGTCTGCCTCACTTTACAGAAGAAACTGAGGCTCAGAGGTTAAATACCTCGAAGTCATATGGAGAGAAACTGTCAGGATTCCAGTCATTTGATTCCAGGTCATTACTATTCCAGAGCTCACACCTATCAGCATTAGAACTCAGAGAAAAATACACAGCTAAAATTTCTAACCTTTAATGTACCAGTCCCACCCTTAACCTGCACTAAAGGAAACTATTTTTAGTCTGAAGTATACCAAGGGATGATGTGGTAAAATGTCACTCATGTGGTAATGTTAACAAAATCTCAGATATAATTGCAAATTTTACTCCTTTGAATATTGAAGGAGGAAAAAAAGCCAGCCCACATAACAAAATGAAATAACTGTTTCCAAGGGAGCCAAAATTATATAGTACATATGTTGACTCCACAGAATATCAAGGGAAAATATCTTATGGGGGAAAAAAAAGTCAGCCACATCTTGAAATCTTACAATCTTTAGTAGATATGAAGAAAAAAGTATAGCAGACCAAAGACAATAAACAGCAAAGAATCAAAGAGAAAGCTGACAAAGGAAGGTACTATTCATCTGTAAATAAGAGCAAAGCCTTTTAGACAGTAGGCAGGTACAGGCTCATGTATCAGAACATAATAGTTGAGGAACCACAGCATTCCTCATGGTGCTCAAAGGATGCACCTATCACCAACCCTCTCTTGTTTTTATCACTAGTATAGAATCAACAAACTTACAGATAGTCCTACTTACCTTAATTGGTACAAACTGTTTTATAAACTTGATACCATGTTCTTCCATGTGTTCACCAATTCTGTTGGCCATGTCTTGGTCAAATCCTCTAAGAAGAATGGACCGTACCATAACAGTGACATCTAAACCAATACCAGCAAGAAATCCAGCACACTCCAAAGCAACATAGGATGCTCCAACCACAAGAGTCTTACCCGGGCAGTAAGGCAAGGAGAAAAGATCATCACTGAAAAGAAATTTAAAGGGGGGAAAAAAAAAGGACAAAAGGAAAGGAAAAATGTTCATCTATGCATAATGACAAGTAAATATTTTTGCTTTCCTAAGAACAAGAAACTTTTAACATTACAAACATCTAGTTAGCTACACATACGATTTATGAGAAGTTTCTATTAGGTCTTAGATACTCTCCCTTTCTTGCCACTCTAGCTTGGGAATAGCTCAAACTGCCAGTAGCTAAATATTGCAAAATGTGTAACTTCTGACATGAGTCCAACCCACAGTCACACAAAATGATTTTGAACTTTGGAATACATGAACGTTTACAAACCCAAATGTCCACCCTCATTCTACCACTCAGCTTCTCTCCAATGTGGAAAACACATGTACTTCTCTCATCTGTAATAACCATTATCAGAGTGGAGAGAAGGGTGGGGAAAAGCTTTTAATATTTGTAATACTAAAAATCCCCACAACTATAAAAGTTTAAAAGCTGACAAATATAAAGACATAAGTCAGATCATAAAAGCAATGTTAAGAAATGAGTTTTTAAAAATGAGAAGGGACAGTAGTACACGCTTGTAGTTCCAGCTACAAGCTGAAGTGGAACACTTGAGTGCAGGAGTTCAACAACAACATAAAGAGATTCTATCTCTAAAAAATTACAGAATACAAAAGAGAGCCTGTTATGGTTTACATGTTTGTGCCCCTGCCTCCGCTAAAATTCCTAAGCAACAGTATTAAGAAGTGGAGTGTTCAATAGGTGATTAGGTTATATAGGCGGAGCTCACACAAACAGGATTAGAGACCTTATAAAAGAGGCAACTGAGAGGTGTCTTCACCCCTTCCACCACGTGAGGACATGGCAAGAAGGCGTTAACTAGGAAATCAGCCCTCAAACAATAAATCTGCCAGTATCTTCCTCTTTGACCTGCCCAACCTCCAGAACAGTGAGGTTATTTATAAGCAGTCTAAGGTATTTTGTTACAGCAGCCCAAACTGACATCTAAGACAGCAATGGCAACAGCTGCCATCAGAGCTGTCCCCACATGAGGAAAAGAGGCAGGGTAAAGTCATACTACCAAAAAAGGGAGCCTGAAGAGTAATGTGCAACTCAATCAGAAACTTCAGGCAAAAAGCATCCAAGAAAGCATGTTTACCAATAATCTGTTATAATGACTTCATAATTTAACACTCCTAACAATGCCAGCAGTATTATCACTCGATGGGCAAAAATAAATCAAACAGCAAAACCTCTTTGCCTGACATACATATTTCATAAGAAAGGTCCCTCTACAAGACAATGCAATCACTGCAAGAACAGTGAATGGGGACCCCAGGGCCTCATAAGTCTAAATGGATTGAAATTCCTTAATCCTTTTTGGGTCTACTTTGCAAGTGTCAAAAAACAACATGATCCTAGCGCAAAAACTAAATGCACATACACATGTACCATACTAATTTTATAAAATATTGTGAATATACCCATCTGGTTTTACGTATGTACATATTCACATATACATAAATTTCAAATACAAATATATGTATCTACATACAAAGTATATGAGTATTAATATGAATAATTCATAGATGAATGTTGATAAGCTTTGAATTTTAAAAAATGTTCTTTTATTCTTTTTTCTTTCTTCCAATGCCCAAAGAGGGCAAGATGTGCCAAAATACTTTTTTTGAACTCCAAGATATGAATTAAGTGGGTTTGAAGGAAAAAGCAAAAGCAAAGTCCACTATGGGTTATCCTCTTCTTGCCTGTTTTCTCCTACCTGCTGATACAGTATTCTTTGTCACCAGGGATGCCCAAGTAGCGTGGCCTTTCACCAGTAGCAATGAGAAAGCGCTCAGCTGAATAAATTTTCTCTTTGCCTTTATTATTTGTTGCCTGCAAAGGAACCAGTATGTCAACTCTAATAAGTAATTATCCATTAGAATTACAAACTTTACTATTAACAAAGGCTACTCACCACTGTGTATAATTTGATTCTCGTAAAAACTTGACAATTCATTAAGGAAAAGACATTAAAGCTGAGTAGTTAAGGACTCACTCAAAGTCACAATGCTGGCCAAGTGACAGAGCCAAGCTTCAAATCTAGGTAATCTGATCCAACACACTCACATCACCCCTCACCCCCAGAAAAAGGTGTGATGGCCAAATCACCAAACTGCATAGTCTGGGTCACAGTGGCCTTAACTTTTATTATAATACTTCAAAATATTTTTCCTCTATCAGTAACCAAGTTTAAAAAAAAGAAAAGCCATGTAGGACACTGCTTTTACAATTACCTTAATCCTATGAGGACCAATAAACTGCCCATATGCATTCTCATAGACAACTTTTTTCTCCCGAAGAGCTACTCGGTAGCCCCAGTTCAGAGAGCCGATGTGATTCTGTACAGCTTCTGTCATCTGTTCCCAGTCATGTTTAACTGCGAAAGAAAATAAAACATTTAGCTCCTCAACTGTCCAACAGCAATTAAGTTTCTCTGTAACTACTCACGTGGGACACTGCAGAGAGCCTAGACCAGCCTGCCTGCCTGGTCCCTGTCTACCACCTCTATAAAAAGAAAGGGCAGGACCCACTGCTGATCCACCAGGAATGGAGAGAACAGTGTATGCCTCACCCCGTGCCAACATCTAACTACAACAATTACCAGAGCTTTATCAATCTCTGTTCATATACTACCTTTCTCTTTATTTTTTAACCAGAATACTGTATTTTAAGTAAACCCGAGACACATGACATTGGTGTCACAGTGACTTAGGGATGTCCCTGCCATTTGATGCCCAGAGGTCCCTGGTTCGAACTTCCCTTTAATATATCCATTACAACTTAGAGCTGTTCAGCCCAATGTGGCAGTAACATCAACCAGGTAGAGAAATAATGAACTAGATCACAGGAGGAATCACTTCTGTAATTTCAGCACTGGGAGCTGTACTCTGCTAACCTATAGGAGGTACCATGTTCTAAAATAAGACATACTTAGAATTATTCAATAGCACCAACAAATTTCATTATTTCAATGACTAAAATTCAAATTCAATGATTAGGTCTAACGCTTTGTGAAGTCATCCTTTGTGGCTCAGGCTAATCTGATTTCCACATACCTCAAACCTCCTTTCCCTACTGAAGTCCCTCTACCCTGTGGTGAGTAGGCCACCAATCACCCCTCCAGCATCTACTGTGTTTATACTCAGGCAGAAGGCATTTAGAAGTTCTGCCCACCATTTAGGACTCAGCTTCAAAGCACTGTAGCTGCTCCTTTGGTCGTGATCTTGCATTCAGAACTTGAGAACCAAGTTTCTGTCTTACGAAGTCCCAATTTCCACTTTATATGCAGTTTAATAACAGGATTCTTGGACATACCTGGAATTCCAGTTCTCCCCTGCCTTCTAACAATGCCCAACACCTACCACCTCTCTGAATTTCCACACTGCCAGGATGCTACACATTCTCACTCAGCCCACCTATATGCAGAGCCTCCCAGGCCTCTCCTAGTACCTCTGGTCTCTTCTACTAGCTGAAGTCCAAAACTAAACCTTTGGAATGTAGACTCTAGCCAGCCAGGTAAAACTTGTTTGCACTTGAGTGCACCCATCTGCCCACCATAAGAGCTGGGTCTTAAGTTAACTTTCTTAATTTATCCTACACCACTACAGAGACAGGCCACATCCATAGATTCAAGAAGAGTAACCACACCAACAGAATTACTTAAAATATTGCCTTTAATATGCGTGACTCATTTTCTCAACTGAACTTAAATTTCAAAAAACTATATATTCAGGAAAATAAAGGATGGATGACCTGCCCAAAGTCATATACTCATGAAGTGGCAGTCATATGCATACTGTATGCAAAACATCAGGTGTGTGGTGGGAGAATATATCCCAAAACTCTGCAAGCCCCAACAGTAATAACAATGGGATCCTAAGCACTCTCAAATACTTCATTTTTTAAAGATACATTTAACATTTGAACATAAAAGAACTCAACGTAAAGCCAATCAATCTTTCAGAAGGGACTAATTCACCCAGTTTAAACGACTGACATCAAAGTGATTTTTTTTTTTAAAGGCTTGGGACTTTCTGTGTGAATTCTGAGTTTGAACTTTAGTGAAAAGGCAGATTGCAGGCCAAGTTCTGGACTGTTAGCTATAGGGTGACCTGTTATTCCCCTGTCATTAGGAAGATTCAACTGTTCTGCTTGGTCCGGTTCCTTTTTTTCCTTAGCACACTGAGGGGATATGTGGTGTCAGAGAAGAGTCTCCTTAGAAAACAAGAGGACTATTCTTTGGTCAAGGACATGAAATTAGATGTGTTTCTATTCTAAAAATGTAAAATAAGACATCAAGCTTCATCTGTCAAAAAGTACAGGAATCAAGTGGAGTCAGACTGAACCTCTCTACAGAATGGTCTCATTTGAAGAATGAATCTCCAAGTTTCTATCTAGCTCTAAGACCCAATGAAAACAAAGTAGTATTTGCCTAAATCCACTGTATTCCTTACCACAATTATTTTACAAAAGGAGAGAGATTAAGTACTGCTCCCACAGTGGTATCCTGGCAGGCACAGCATACCATTTCTGTTTCAGAACAACAAAGGCTTAACAAGAAGCCTGAAGGCACCAACAAATAAGAAGCCACCAAGCATTCACTTATGAAGGGTGCACAGATATGGCACACAGAGGTTGCCATTCTTCACCAGTTCTTATCACTCTAGACTTGCTGCTGCTGACAAACACAGCAGGTGAAATGTGTAAAATTAGAAAACTATGTCTTTCTACCTTACGATTTAGTAAGGGGAAAAAAACCACAAAAGTGGTAAAATGGTTAAAATAGTTGAACAAATAATTTATCCAAAGATAGACAAATGAGACAATGTTCATTTGGTTCAAGTGTCAAAGTCCATTGAAATACTGAAGGGAGTGTGTGCTAATAACTGGGTATATTAACAGCAGTCTTGCAGAAGGGGAAAAGGAGCACTAATGTGTAGGCTAAGTGGGTGGGGCATTCAGACAGGAGAGTTAGCAACTTGGAGAGAGAGGGCTGGGAAGAATGGGAACTACTGATGGATTATGCATTAAATTCATACTTCCTGTATTGTTTACTTCCGAAGTCAACTGCCTTGTTTGTTGGAAAAGAGAAAATAACATGGGGCTCAGAACCAAATAATGAAACTCAAGTTAGGCCTCTAAAGGTCATGGAAAGAAAGCAGCCTTATAAGAGAAAACAGATATGACCCTAACATAAGAAAACTTGGCCAGGTAGGGTGGCCTAAGCATGTAATCCTAGCTACTTGAGAGGTGGAAACCAGGAGGATCATGGTTGGACGCCAGCCTGGGAAAAATGTGAGAGCCAATGGCTAGGCAAGGTGTCCAGACCATCTATAATCCCAGCACTTGGGAGGCTAAGCAGGAGGATCATGAGTTTGAGGCCAGTCTGGGTTACATAGACCCTGTCTCAAAAACAAATGAGCAAAAAAGAAATACCATACTCCAAAGACATCATAACTATGTAGCTACCTCATAAAGGAAAAGTGTAGTGGTTTTACTCATAAAAACATAAATAAGAACAATAATTTCTAGCTATTTGTTGCCCTTGTAAAAATGGATGTTGCACCTTGAAAGATCATAACTGAAACCTCCAAAAGCACAGAGTGAAGATCAGCTTTTCCCTCCCATACCTGTGTCCTCAACTTTCCATCCATAGTTGCGAGAGTCTTGTAGCGCTTGTCCTAACAAAGCGGCTTGGTGCATCAGTTTTTTAGGTATGCACCCTACATTGACACAGGTTCCTCCAAGACCTGCAACAACATTGGAAAGTCAAAGAAAAAGTCAATGATTATTAAGATTCCATGAGACATCATACTTTATTTGCTTAACGCGGCTGACACTATTTAGATAAGTTTATTCCTAAGTCTCATGACATTTCTAAGTTCAGAGAGCTTTATATACTGAACACAGCAACATCATCCTACAACAAAAAGAAGAAGCTTTCCACAACTTCCATATACTTAAAGTTTCAAAATTAAGCCAGGGACCGGTGGCTCACATCTACAATCCTAGCTACTCAGGAGGCAGAGATCAGGAGGAACTCGGTTTGAAGCCAATCCGAGCAAACAGTTCGAAAGATCCTATCTCAAAAAACCTCTCATAAAAATAAGGCTGGTGGAGTTGCTCAAGGTGAAGGGCCTGAGTTCAAGCCCCAGTACTGCCAAAAAAAAATTAACTGATTGTTGATAAGATGCCAGAAATCGAAATTTTACTATGTGTTCTACCCAACAGTTACCACTAGATCTATGCCCAGAAGTGGTAAAGGGGTGGTTACAGGGTGAGCATAGTTAAGTTGCAGTGGGTCTGAAATTTCACGTAACATGTAGTGTTCATGTGCAGTTTTTAAGGAGGTAGCCTACAGCTTTCACTTGCTTCTCCAAAGGACTCACGTCTTATCTTCTCTCTTCCCTCCCCAAAAAGGCATAGCATCTCAAAGTTAAAGAACACTGTGATAGCTTATTTCCATGAGAACAAAATGCAGGTAGGTGGGGGAGGTAGTTAAAAGAACAGGAGTCAGAGTGCAAGATGACAGTGGAGCTCATAGCTCAAAAGTATGTCCTGAAAGGAGAACATCATCAGAGCATCACTCTGGGTATACACCTAGCACCAAGAACAGTGCCTGACAGAACTGACACTTATTTGCTGGACTGATGAATTACAAACACTACCTTATTGGGACTGCTGGCTGCTTAATGCCTTCCACTGTAAGTAGCCAAATTTTAATCTTGATAGAATTTACCTATCACATCACTCTCCTACCTTAAAAGCCTCAAGGGATTACCAGGATGTGCTCTGATTAGTCCAAAGTCCTCATCTTGGCCTACAAGGCCCTAAACAGTTTTAACCTGATATCCTTTCCACTCTTACTTCGTACTGCCTCCAGCTCCCACTACCACAATCATGCAGGACTCTTATCTAAATTAGAGCCTTTACTTGTACTACTCTCTGAGAAAGAGAGAGGAAAACTGCCTGGAGGTTCTGCTCAGCTTTTAGCACAGTTGGCTCATTCTCATTCTTTAGGCCTCATCTAAATGCTACCTCCCTTGCTTGATAAATTGATTTAAGTTAAAACTTTCTCCTTGCTGGGCACCAGTGGCTCACACCTATGATCCCAGCTACTCAGGAGGCAGAGATCAAGAGGATTGAGGTTCAAAAGCAGCCTGGGCAAATAATTCGCAAGACTCTATCTTGAAAAAACCCATCAAAAAAGGGCTGGTGAAGTGGCTCAAAGTTTAGGCCTTGAGTTCAAACCTCAACACTGAAAAAAAAAAAAAAACCCAAAAAACAAAAAACCTTTCTCCTTTACCCAGTTCCTCTTTATTGTACTATACAAATTTTTAAGTACCACTTATCATGATTCATAAAGTTCTTATCTTTTGTCTCCATGCTAGAATGTAAACTCCAAGATGGCAGAAACTTTTTCCATACCATGTTCACTGCTATATCCCCATGGCCTTGGTTCATCAGTAATCAATAAATACTTGATGAATAAATGAACAATAAACATATTTCACCAAGACTCAGAAACAGCCAGGTCTAGCCATTTAAGTATCTGATGATTTCAGTTCTTACTGAGGGAGGAGATAGATTTAAAAAGAAGTTTAAATTTTTAGCATTCGTCCTGTGTCCATTTTAACTTAGCTCAAATGAAAGAAACATTTGTCTTGTTTTGTTTGTTTTTTTGGATCACTGTCAGGAAAAAAACCTGCTTCTTCAAAATCACTTCTAAAATATTTTAGAGACTTACCCCATCTAGTTCCAAGAGGGGTTGGAGTGACAAAATCCAAGACCATCACCTTCTTGCCATATTTGGCTGCCTCCTGGAAAATAAAATTATTAAAAAAGAGAAAGGTTAACAACAGACTGGAAATGGTCTGCTAAAATCCATACTGTATTTACTATGCTCGAATACCTAAGGCACAACCAATTATTCATACCTGGAAGTTCACTTACCATGATGATCAGTTCAACTGTAGGATAAAAATGAATGATACTCAAGTTGTGAGGCTTTGAAGACTATACACAGATTGTGATTGTAAAATTGTTACAATATTAACAATCTTAATCTTTAAGAAACCTTGAACTCCTTTTACATAATCCCACTCAAACAATAACAGATTAAGCAAGCATTTGAAAAAAAAAACCACCAAAAATGTGGCTATTTCCAAGCAAGTGATAAGTAGCTGGTAAAGCCAGTTTCCTGACAGACTATACCCCTTGTCTCAACCTATAAAGAAATGTCTTTAAAAGTACAATTTTCCAAGTTTTACCTAATTCCGTTTCTAAGGTAGAATACTGAATAAGGTTTTCTTCTTAAATCATCAGATTTCCAAAATTTTCCTGAGGAGCCCATGAAAAGGTGACGATACTTATGAGCTTTCCCAATCTATTTCCAGGGAGCAAAGACAAGAGGCAGGTTCATTTTGTAGAGCATCTTTTATTATCCTCAGGACACGCTTTGTATCCTGGCAGCTAAACCTCCAAAGGTTATTTGCAAGGACTGTGTCTGTGTGTCCCTCAGACCCACCCCCACCAGAGTCAAATGCATTAGGCAGTGCTCCTGCATTGCTCTGAGCAAAGCACTGCTTCATGCCAGGCAACAGCCTGCTCCTAACTTGGGCAGGTTCTTTGAATCCACCTTCACTTGCTTATTTACATATCCCCTTCCCTGTCATGCCAGGCCACAGAATGAGTGGCTATTCTCTCAGATCACCTCGTGTACCCAGGTGGAAGATCATTTTTAACCAGTACGCTTAGGAAATCTAACTGCTCCCCACCTTTCTATTGGAGAGTAGGTGTTGTGAATAGTGAAATCAACAAAGTGAAGGTCAAATACTACTAAAAAATAAGAAATGTATTTAATTCCAAATCACTTCCATGTAACACCCTTATTATCTTTGAAAAAATTAACCAAACTTAAAGTGAATGAAAATGTGTCCTAAATCAATGAGCCCATACTTCATAAAGAACATACATTTCAACTTGGAAAAATGATTTATAAAGGGACATCATAATATATCCTGATCAAGTTAATGTGAAAAATACAACAAGAGTGGATCAAATAAATTCCACAAAAAAGCTGGAGAACTCTGTCAGGGATTTAAGTGTTCTAACCATCATCCAGATAACATAAAACACAAGGAGTCTCACCTTAGCAGCTGCCAGGCCTCCTGAGCCTCCTCCAATGATGATAAGATCGAAGTCATAGGACTCAGGGAGGTCTTCAGAGCCATTCATTTTTAGCAGCTTTTGAAGATGGTCCTCCTGGTAAGCCTGAAGAAAAACAACAAAGAGGAAAATAATTTAAGTAAAAGAGCAATGTCCAAAAAAACCATTGCAGGAAAACTTTCCTTAAAGTAATTTTCAAAGGGAAAATGTTACTCAACTTACACTACAGCCTAGAAATGGAAATAGTCAACCCTTCTTCAAGTGGTCATCAGTACTTGTTTCTTTTATGTTATGAGTCCTGAGGACTGCCTCCCAATAGCTTCTCATATCACTGTTAACTACTTTTCAGTGTTCATATGGTACTTCTTCATACACACGGGAAATGTCCTGACAGCCCAACAAAATCACAAAATCAACTTGTCCTAAACTAAGTTTGATCATCAGCCCTTTTTTCTAGAGTTTTTAAACTAAGCTCTAAATCAGGCAATTTCCCACACACACAATGGAGGGGGGGGAAAAACCCTTTTATTGAGATTTCAATAGGTAAACAATGTGAGGCTATTGGATATAAATTAGGTTACAAAAACATTTGTAAAATATTTATGCTTTTAATAGGGTCATCAATGCCATTCAGCAATCATCTTTACTTTCTAGTCAAAGTGGCTTACAGTCTCAGACTACCAGAGGGCCTGGTAAATATGGGCATAACAATCTCAATTTAACAATGCAAAAGCTGGCCAATGGGCTGGTGGAGTGGCTCTACTAGCAAGCATGTTCAAACCCCAGTTCAAACTCTGAGTTCAAACATCAGTACTGCCAGAAAAAAAAAAGAAAAAATAAGTTGGCCAAATATTTAAGATTTTTTTATACTGTTTTGCTGAGACACAAAAATCTTATTAATTCAGAAGAATTACTAATTGATACTGAGTTGCATGTCAAATGTAAAATTCTCTTCAAGGTATTTTATAGTTTTTGTTTGTTTTCTGGTTTTTTGTTTTTTTTTTGTGGTGCTGGGGATCAAACACAGGGCCTTGTACATGTTGAGTAAGCACTCTACCACTGACTATACCCCCAGTCTTCACATGGCAGTTTAACAACTGTGACTTTGTAAAGGTCATTCCTTCAATTTGCATCTGCTCGAAGTCTCCTAGGTTATATTTAGTATTTACTTTCCAGATACTTGGCACAGAACAGATTTTATAACTTAGGTATTATGATTTAATTTTTTAAAAAATCCTTTCATTCCACTAGTTTTTACACATTTTAGTTCTACTTCATATTCATTTGAGTAATGTACTTACTACCTTTTATTAAAATAAAAACCTATGCTAATAAAAGATAACTGAAAAAGTCAACAAGCACAATAAAATGGTCTTCTAAAAATCAAGTTTTAACTTTAATAACTAAAAAGCCCCCCAAACTTACCAGCCCATACTGCGTATTTTTCCCCTGCCTACAGTCAGGTGGAGGGGAGGAAAGGTGGAAGCTGGGGTCAGCAGAACAAGATGCTTGGGATGTGGAAGGGGGTGACGTGGAGGAAAGTGGAATGGGGAGTTCAGCCCTGCCGGAGCCCCTTGGTGGCTCGCCTGGTGCACATGATGGCTCAGGAACTGAAGGGAATGAACCTGGAAACCAGCAACAGTGGGGGCAAGTTTGTGTCACCCTGACGGTCTGCACAAAAGGTCTAAGGTGAGAAGCTGGTAAGCACAGCCAGTATTCATCAACTGGCATTGTGGCCGAGGCTTCTCCTTCAATGAAGAGCACTGTGGGGAAAAATAATAGTCACTGACATCAAAGTATCAGCTTAAGCTTCATTATTACTTCCTGTGTGGTCTCAAAGAGCATGAATCTGACTTCTGGTTTAAGGGTTAACAGATTAATATAGCTAGAAGTTCATAAAAAGTAGCCATTTGAATGTCAACCTCACTTTACCTGCCTGTTCTTAGCACAGATGGTGATGGAACAGTCACTGGCTAGTGTCTTAACAGTCACTAGCTGTCCTCCCAACATAGCCAGTAAAGCAAAAGAAAATGGGCCCTCATGTTGCAAAGCCGCATACTCTCTCCACCAAAGTTTATAATCTGTACTTTACTGAGATTCTGTATTGATCTGAGTTCTTATAGTTCAAGCTTAGTCTCAATCATATCAATGGATTTTGCAAAGAAACTAACAAGGGAGCCTGAACATTTTTAACTCCAAGGTTTAATCAGTAAGGCACAGGCAACAGAAACAATGAATTGACCCTAAAACAAAACATTATGTTTTTAAATTTTAACCCAAATTAAAATTGAAATTTCTATCATTCAGCTCCAGGTAAATGGTATCCCAGCTGAAATATAAATAAGATAGGGCTAAATAAGGTGGCACACACCTGTAATTCCAGCTACTTGTGAGGCAGAGATCAGAAGGATCTTGGTTCTAGACTAGCCCAGGCAAAAGTTAGTGAGACCTCATCTCAACCAGTAAAGCTGGGTGTGTTAGTGCATACACATCTGTAATCTCAGCTAGTGGGAGTCATAGGTAGGAGGATCAAGGCAGACCCTATCTGAAAAATAACTAAAGCAAAAAAGGCCTAAGGACATGGCTCAAGTGGTACAGCACCTGCCTAGCAAGTGTGAGACCCTGAGTTCAAATCCTAGTACTGCTGAAAATAACACTACTAATAATAAAACAGATGGAGGAAGATAGCTCCTTGAAACAGCATACAGAGACAGGGTATAAGGAGCAGTGAAAGAAAATGACCACTCTCCTCCAATTAGAAAGAGTGGCTGCCACCTGGGGACTGACACAGGCGATCTCAAGCCTTTCAGTCTCAGGACCCCTTTATAATCTTTTCAAGGATTCCAAAGGGCTTTTTGTTAATGGCTTTATTAATATTTCCTACATGAGAAATTAATCTAAGAAAAATTTAAATACAATTAAATTTTAAAATAGGTCCATTATATGTTAATGTAAGTATCTTACTAAAATATTTCTAAATGCTTTTGCTTCCTCCACTCAATCTGCTCCCACATCACAGGCATTAGCCTCTGGAAAACTCCATGGTAGACTCGCAGAAGAACTAGTGGAAAAGGCGATAGCATCTTAAGTATTGTGAAAACAATCTTGACCTCAAGTCCCCCTGAGAGGGCCCCAAAGGTCCCACACACTGTGAGAAGCCATGCTACAGGATGTATGCAGATACATGGCACCTCCCCTGCAGAGGATCATCACTTACATACTGGATAGTCTTCCTTTCCTTTTCTCTGCCTCCCAGAGCATCACCAACACCCTAACCCACTGTTGGTTGCAAAACCCTGCCTCAGGTTCCCCCCCAGAGGGCACAGGCCAAAAGCAATTACTGTGGTGATTTCTTTAAAATTTGATATTCCCCCAGTTAAGATTTCTATGCTTCACTAGAGATTCATACTGGTCTTCCCTCCATTATGCATGCGTCTGGTTAAAACACTTGCTCCACTGCTCTACACTATGTGACCTGAACAAATCACCTAATCCTTAAGAGCCTCCACTTTTCCTTTGGAAAAGAAGTTACCAAACCCCTGTACTCTCCAAATTGTTGAATTTGAGAGGTAACTCATATCAGCCAATTGGCTGATAGGAAAGAATCCGCTTAAGCTACTAATTGGCCCTTTCCTGGAGAAAGGAAACTACCTGGGGCTGAATCAAGCAGCTGTGGAATGTGTCTTGCAGGTGTCCTTTGAGCTCACCTGTACCCACCCTCACCCGAAATACCCTCTTCCTATCAAATCCTGATCCAGTAGATGGACACGCTAGCACAATGCATTATTTTTACTCGATGTACACGAATGTATTACCCTTTAAAGCATTCTGTTCAAACTGGGGGTTTCTTTACCAACACTCGTAAGACTCAACACAAGACCTGTCTTACCATCAAGTTTCCTCACAGTTTCCAAACAACAGTCTCCTTTTCTTTCTCAAAATTTAATTGCATACTGTCAAAGAATTTAGCACAGACTGTTTCCTACCTTCAATGCCCTCTTTTCTTCACATCAGCCCATCCTGTCTTACAAGATTTACCTAACAGCCTTAGCTTGGGTGCTCCTCCTCTGGTCTCCCCACTGCCACTATCACACAATCCCACAAAGCCCACCAACCCCACAAGGACAAGTATCCCCATGCCTTTCACCTCTGCATCTTCAGTGCCCACCACACACATGGGATGTTCACAAGTATTTTAAATCAAAGACTTGAATACTAGTTCCAACTCTGCTATGTACACCAAGAGACTGGGTCCCAGTTTCCTCATAAAATTTAAAAGCTTGGAAAAGTGCAGAGTGCAGCATAATGAGTTAGGAGCTTAGTCTAAACCTGACCTGACTGTGCCAGTTACGCATTCTAGCCACTTATTGGGCTAGAATGCTTGAACTCTCCTGTCTCAATTTTCTTGCTTGCAAAAGCAAAGGTGATGAACCATGCACCTCATGAGTGTCTTGGGTCAGTCAGAAAGTCCAGGTAAATGTAGTATAGTGTCTATCACACGGTAAGTCAATACATTACCTTGGTAGTAAGGCACAGTGGTAGTATCACCTGAAAGCAGCGCCAGGGTATTTAAAGGAATGGTTGAATGCTGGGTGTGATAGTACATGCTTATAATCCCAGCACTAAGGAGGTGGAGGAAGGAGGAGCTCAAGATTAAGGCCAAATCTAGGTTAGCTATACATTGAGACAATGTCTCAAACAAAGGAAAAGCTGAGTAGTTGGCACTATGTTGCAGCTGGAGAAAGAGCTAAGCAGCAGATAAAATTTTGAGCCACTACTTCAGGAGCATTCTTATTCCCAATATCCCAAATGCACCAAATGCTTGACTTTCATGTTTTACAATGCTTGTGCAAATAAGCAGTCTGACTTCTCCTAATGCCATACATATACTTATGTCTGGCTTATCAAAAAAAAACAACTGGGCTGGGAATGTAGTTCAGCAGCTGAACACTTACCTAGCATGCACAGGCCCTGGGTTCCCATTCCACCACCACAGAAATACCAAAACCTCAGCAGTGATTAAGTAAGTCTGTACTAGGTCCAATGCTTGCTTCCTTTGAAATCTGATGTTAACACTTATGCTGCAGCTTCCAGAAAAAATGTGACAGTCCAGGCCAGAAAATTCTGTTGAACGCAGTGAACATTTTAGTGAGTGTATTAGCTTCCTAATGCTGCTGTAACAAATTACCAAAAATTTAGTGGCTTTATATTTTTGGTGGTACCAGGGTTTGAAAACAGGCCTTCATGTTTGTGAGGCAGGTGCTCTACTGCTTGAGCTATGCCTCCAGTCACCCCTGGCCCCGTCCTCACTTCAAACTTTAATAGACAAGGGTCTCATTTTGTTGCCCAGGCTGAAATGCAGTGTGGTTTCACAAGTATGAACCCATTACTGATCTGACCTGCTCCATTTCTGATCTGGACTGGTTTACCTCTCCATAGTCAAATAACCTGGTGGTCCCCTGCTCCTGGGAAGTCACCACATTGGCGCTGAAGTCAGTGCAGACACTAGATAGGGATACTGCACTACTGCCCAGAACTACTGGACTCAAGCAATCCTCCTTCCTCAGCCTCTTGAGTAGCTAGGCCTATAGGCATAGCCATTATGCCTAAATGCCCAGCCATTTAGTGGCTGTAACAGCACTAATTATCTTATAGTTCTGGAGGTTAATGTCCAGCCAGAATTGATTTGGCTGTGCTAAAATCAAGGTATCAGCAGGTCTGGTTCCTTCTGGAAGCTCAGGGAATGAATTTGCCCTGTTCTTTTTCAGCTTTTGGGAGCCACCTTTATTTGTGGACTCACAGAATTCCATTTTCAAAGCTATTGTCACATTTCCTGCTACTGTAACCAAGTCTCTCTGCCTCCTTCTTACAACAACATTCTAGAAAATCTCCCCATCTCCAGGTCCTTAATCACATCTCCAAAGTCCCTGTTCTCAAGAAACAATGCCCAGATTGTGGTTGAGGTGGGAAGGGGACCAAGTCTGGTGGTTCATTTGTATAATCCCAACTAATTTCAGAGGAGGAGGCAGGAGGATCTCAAGTTCAAGACCTGTCCAGGCAAAGTTAGCAAGACCTTATCTCAAAAACAAAAAGGTTTGAGGATGTAGGTCTATATTAGCTAAGACCCCAAAAAATTACATCTCCCCAAACCTCTACTTTTTATTTTTTTTAGTGGTACCAGGGTTTGAAATGAGGCCCTTTCACTTGCACCACACCCACAGTCCTTTTTTTGTTTTAGGGTGTTTTGTTTTGTTTTTTTCAGGTATAGGGCTCTAGTTTTTTCATTCAGGGCCAGCTTCAGACAATGATCCTCCTACCTATGGCCTCCCACATAGCTGCAGTAACAGGTGCAAGTCACTAGGCCTGGCTTGTTGGTTGAGATGAAGTCTTGCTAACTTTTTGCCCACACTGGCCTAGCACTTCAATCCTTCCCAAGTAGCTAGAATTACAGCCATGAGCCACTACAACCAACACTAAAAACTCATTTTCTAACAGTACTTTGATAGCTCTCTTATGCCTGCTGTTCAATCTACATTTTCTTTTAATGCTGTAAAGCCATCACTACATATCAAATACTCCTAATAAAAGATATAGCATTCAAGAGAACAATCTGATGGCAAGTACAGAACTGAGTCAGGCCAGGAACCAGTGGCTCAAGCCTATAATCCCAGCTACTCAGGAGGCAGGGATCAGGAAGATCAGGGTTTGAGACCAGTCTGGGCAAAAAGTTTTTGAGACCCCCATCTCAGCCAATAAAGTTGGGCATGGTAGTGTGCACCTGTCATCCCAGCTATGTGAGAAGCATAAATAGGAGAACTGAGGTCCAGTCTGGGCCAGGGAATAAATGGGAGAACCTATTTGGAAAATAATTAAAGCAAAAAGAATTGGGAGTACAGCTCAAGTGGTAGAGCACCTGCGTGGCAAGTACAAGGCCTCAAGTTCAACTCCCATACCACATACACACTCACCAAAAAAAAAAAAAGAAAAAAGAAATTGAATCAGGATCTTTCTGCTCACAGTATCTTCTCCTCCAACAGGAGATCTCAGAAAAAACTCAAGTTCTGAACAATCAGTGAGACCAAATGATGCTTCTCTGTTAAATCAAAATGATAAGACACTGGGAAGGATTAGCATTCTTTTATGTGAGAAAGGGGAAAGAATGGTTATTCTAGAAAACAATTTGTCAAAATTCATGAGAAACATTTTTCTAGAATTCTACACTACACTTTGTTGAAGAAGCTTCTCTACACAAATGTTAAGAATTCTCCTCTTAATCTTGGTGTCATTTAGTTTTTTATTTACTTCCCTGTACCACAATCGACTTAGTGGCAAAGTCTGTTAATATTAAGCATAATGAAATTTTATTTACTTGCCAAATTATTGTTGGTAAAATTCCTCCACTACCAAAGATTAAGTTAAAGGGATAAGGAAAAGCAGCTTATGGGCATGCTTATCTCATCTTCTACGTTTTCTAAAATTATTTCCTTAATGATCCAAATTTTCTGCAGTAATCTCCAAATAAGGTAAATTAAGGCTGTAATTTCTTTTAAAAATTTTTTTTGCAGTGTTGATGATTTTATGCCAGGGCCTCTCACATGTAGCTGACCTACATCCCCAGCTCCATAATTTATTTTTAAAACAACTGCAAGCATCCAAAACAAAAAACCAAAATCTATGGGTTTATATCAAGTGAGGAATATTTTGATAAACTAACAGGGACAGTTTCCAGCCCTCTAAGAAATGCAAGCTTAATGGAACAAATATTCCAACTTGTTACATGATGAGAGATTACTGATTTCTCAAGGACACTCTGTACTAGCAGAAATTATAAAACTAGGTACCAGAGAAAAAAGTAACCAAGTAGATAAAGCTTACGGCTGGAAGATGAAAGCATTGGTGCAAGGGAAATATCTTCTACCTCTGAGGAAAAATAGATGAGGTCACAGCAATTCTTGCCCAGCTTAGCATTCAAATAGTTTTCCCATAAATCCCATGACTCTCTCATGCTATAATTTGTCAACAATTCTGTGCATTTGACCTTATTATTTCCCTGCCTAAAATGCTCTTCGTATTTTCTAATTCCCACTTGGCTTTCAGCTTTTAGTTGATGTTTTCACTACTTAACAGTAGACTACTTTTGTTGAGTCCATTTACAGAAGACATTATTTACAATATGGATACCCACTCTTTGCAATAAAGCATTTAGTCCCAATATGGCATATTTACTGCCTTGCAGATAAATTCTTTTTGACTAACTTTTACACCCATTTGTCCCCCAACTTGGTTAGGAGTTCCTTACAGGATTCTCTTGGTTTACTGTAAAGGGAGTTGTCTCATAGAACACCCTTTTTTTTTTTTTTTTATTTGTTGGCCAATACTTTTTAATTTATGAAATTCAAAACTAACAGTCTTAAAAAGCATTCAAAACAATTTCCCATAAGCATGCCAGAAAACTTTTTAATAACAGACCATGACCTTATAAATTACCAAGAAAAATATACTGCACAATAAGACAATTTCTGATGTTCTTGAAAGTACGAGATACAGTACAGTGGGTACTTGTTAGATTTTGCTATTTTGAGATATTTCAGAAAAACAACAAATATACCATAAACAAAAAAACCTTTAGTATGAATTTTTGATCATAGCCTCTGAAATTTCAAAAGTTGCCACAATGTTTTTCCAGTCCTGTAAACTCAAAGATATAACCCCCTGTTTCCTGCCATAGAAACCGGGATCATTTCCTTCATCCATTTGGCTAATATTAATTGGCTCTAATATTGGCAGCCTGTCTTGGTCAAGCCTTATTCTTGCAAAACCATCCCTGATGATAAAAGAGACATAGAATATATTCTCCACAGTCCGAGAGAATGAGTGTGGATCAATCACAAACTCAAAATAGGACACAGGAGTATCCGGGTATTTTCGAAAGTAGGTCTGCAATAATCCCAAGATTCTCTCTACTTCTTTTTCTGTTGCCTCTTGATTGGGACTTAGGTCCAACTTCCTCAGCTTGGTAGGCATAGCCCCGCTGCCTTCGATTTTGCGCACTTTTTTGTGATGTTCAAGGCGGGGCTTTCGCGCAGAAGGCTCTGGCTTGAATGAGCCGAAAATAAAGTGAAATGCTTCGGCATGCAGGATCCAGGACGTAGCTTCCTTTTGCACTGCGTCCCAGAAGGACAGGACGATGATGTCATCACAGCCGCTCAGTTCATCGTACTCGTCTTCCATCCAGTTCAGGCCCACAAAGATAAACAGAAAGTCACAAAACGCGACCTGGTTGAAATAGCTCATGCCGGAATTCAACTGCTTTGCCTTCTCCTTGCCCAAATCAGACGCCAGGACAAGGAACTGCGCATCAAGGGCAGCTTCTCTGGTCCGGCTCACTGCGTCAAACAGGACGTTGGCCTCCTCCAGGGCCTCGGTCAGCGAGTTGCTGGCCGTGTTCACGATGTCCTCCCGGTTCTGCTGGACGCTGTAGATGAGCTGCCGGTACTGCTTGCGGATACTGCGACACTTCCCCTCGTCCTCTGTGCCCACCAGGAGCTCCGGGTCTATGTCGGGGTCCCCTGAGCTCAGGTCGTCCGAGTAGGCATCGGGTCCCATCATGTCCACCCTCACTGGCTCCTCCTCCTCCTCCACCGGCTTCACCTCACACTCGCTACAGGTGACCATCAGAACTGGCTCCTGCCGCTTCTCTTCGCCTCCGGCCAGGGAGCCCTTTCCTTCAGACATGTCGGCCTTGGGCAGCGCGCAGCCCACTACCTCCTCCACTCGCTCAATGCCGGCGGAAGTTGAAGTGGCAGTTAAAGTGGTTGGATGGCAACTGCCCATGCGCACAAGCTATGGCCACGGGACGCCCAGGCCGCCCCGCCCCCTGCGGCCCAGACCGCTCTGCCCCCTGAGGCTCGCTGCATGATGGCCCCGCCCCCAAACAGCTGAAGGTGGGGGCAAGGCGGCCCCGCCCCTAGCTCGCTCCAAGGTTGACCTCACTGCTGGCAGAGCCCACCTTGCCCTGCCCCCAGAATGTGCTTAGTAATGGGCCCCAACCCTGACGGGAATAATTCCCATCCAGAGGGTCAGCTACTGTAATCTTTGGTGACAAATGACAACCTTAAAAAAAGATATCTTAGGACCTTGAGACAAAATTTAGGGGAGGAATAAAGGTTCTGCGCTTTAAAACATTCGCTGCCATGTATCACAGCTAGGTTGACCTATATCCCTCCTTCTTACTATGAATGAAAGGTGTTTTATTTGGTACTTTGTTCTGATTCTGCTAACTAAATCTGGCTAGGCTAAACTGCGTGTAAGGCCATGGAAAGACGAAGGATCGTGCAATGAAGAACCTCCATTACAAGTAGACAGAAAACTCACAGTTCATTAGTAAGGTAGTTGTTTGAACTCAATATACAAAAGTAAATCAGGTTATCTTTTACAGGTCCCAAAGGCCAAATCACCCCCTGCAATTTACCCCATCCATCCAAGGTTCTGGCAATGTGGGCTGGGGTAGCCTAGCGCTAACGCATGCAGGGAAATGGGTGTGAGGCACATACATTACACAAGTGACCTTTGGATCTCTACCACCCAAGAGAGGAGAAAACTCAGCCTAGGTTGGGTTCTGGGCATAATAGCACTTTATCTGTAGGCCTGCTAGACAGGTCATTAATCTGAACCCTAAAAAGTGGACAAAGCTATGAAGATTTTTAAACACAGCCTGTAATAAGGATACACAAAGACTATAAATTGGGCAAATGATCTGCGTTGGCAAATCCACCCAGTAACTCACTGTAAATTCATGTGCAGTTGGAGAAGGGGCTCAAGTTATCAGGCACACAGTAGGGAAGTATAAATGACAATAGACAATTGTTTTAAAAGAGGACATGTGCACTTCCAACTCAGGAGATTAAAAAAAGAGGGGCCCACACTGTATGTATCAATCCCAGAAGTTACAAGGAACCAGGAACTAAATTGGCCCTACCTACCCTTGCTGTGCATATAGATAAGTATTTGGGGAGTTTTTGTTTCTTTTTGCTATTGCTGTTTGGGTGAGGCCTTAACAGAAAGGCTCTGGCAAATGCATAAACAGCAAAAACCTAATATTAAGCTACTCCAAGATCATTATGTTACTATTCACCCACTTTTTTTGTCTGTTTGTTTTTGGTGGCACTGGGGTTTGAACTCAGGGTCTCAATGCTTGCTAGGTAGGCACTCCCACCTTTGAACCACTCCACCAGCCCTTTTTTTGTGATGGGTTTTTTCAAAATAGGGGCTCACGAACTATTTGCCTGGGGCTGGCTTTGAACCACCATCCTTCTGATCTCTGCTTCCTGAGTAGCTAGGAGTACTACTCAGGATTACTAGCTACGCAGGTGTGGTGTGAGCCACAGGCTCCCCCTACCCGGTGCCCGGATCACAGTTATTTTTTACGTAAAAGCAATTCAGGAGGCAATATGCATTTTTAAAAACACCACTACATTATGGTTACTTGTGCATATACATACTGTATTATCCTGCCCTATAAAATGATTAGATCTGAAAAACAAAAAGTTGGCGATCTTCCAAACACAGCTGTTCTCACATGGACACACTTGGATTTGGACACGCACTGACTATATAAGTTAAGGCACATTACAAACTGTGTTGCAGAAGTTTTTACGTTTTAAAGACAACTTTTATTCCCTAGAAAAATTCTGCCTCATCCCTCCTCTGAAATAAGAGGGAATGGGAATAAGGGAATGAAAAAGTTGCTGCCCGGGACAGCATTCTTCCCAAGTCTGGCAATTACAAACTAACCGTTAAAGCTGTTTTAAATCTTAGGTAAAAATGCAGAATTAAGAATTCCATAATGTGTATCTGAAAAGGTTTGCTGTTACAGTGAACCACATTCTTGGGAGTTTGTGATGTCCATTTTAAACTCAATAAAAGCAATCTATGAGACTGCTTCAAAAGAGAAGACAAACTTCCTACCCTAATACTTCTTTTCTCCTGGCTCAGGGGAAGGAAAAAAAGTTGATACCAATTTGCTCCCCTAGCCTTTGGTCTAAGAATTTCAAAATGCTTTCGAAAAATACATTAATTGTCCCAACCTACTTACATGGTTATCACTAATACCATTTATAGGGATTTCTTGGAGATAAAAGCCCACACAACTTGACCAGAGCAACAGAACACATTAAAACTATAATCAAAGCCAGGCATGGTAGAGCACACTTATAATCCTAGCAGAAGTATCTTAAGTTTGAAGCCAGCCTGCCAAAGTTAGCAAGACCTTGTCTCAAAAAGAAAAAAGCGGGGGGTGGGTGGGGGAGGGCTGGGGACATTACTTACTTAGTAAATCACTAAAGTTAGCCCAGTGTTGATGGCTCACCATGTGTAGTCCTAGCTACTTGGGAGACTGGGATCTGGAGGATCTTGGTTCCAGCCTGTCTGAGCAAAAACAAATTCACGAAACCCCCATGTCAACAAAAAAAAGTGGGGCATGGTGGTAGGTGCCTGTCATCCCATCTATGGTAGTAAGTGTAAAAAGTAGGAGGATCATGGTCCAAGAAGGCCAGGGCAAAAAAGCAAGACCCTTTAGACCCTATCTCAAAGTAACCAGAGCAAAAAAAAGCTGGAGGCATGGCTCAAGCTGCCTGTCTAGCAAGCACAAGGTCCTGAGTTCAAACCCTAGTAGTGCCAAAAAAAAAGAAAAATCACTAAAGTACTTCCTCATGCAGTAACACTAGTTCAAGCAACCAAGAGACACAAAGTGACTTCAGAGGGGCTCTCTCCCTGTTTGTTTTTCTTCTTTCCTATCTGAGTTAAGGCCCCAGACTCAGTATGGCCCTCCACTTCCTTTCTTCCATCTTTGCTCCTATTATTTTTTCAATCCCTTTCCTTAGGAGTCCAGATCCATTAAGTCCAAGCATTCTTAAACTCCTGTTCAACACAAATATTGATGGGATGAATGACATAGATTACAGTTCTCACAATTTTTTTCAGTAGGGTTTGTACTGCAAGTCTAATCTATAACAAATGGATTTTTGTAAGACTTTTTTGGAGCCAAAGCCAGGTCTGAGTCCCACACTCTTAACAGATATACTTATCCTGCCATCAGCTACCTCCCTAAATTTTTCTGTTCCTTTTTTTCACAGAAGCTTTTCTTCCGTCAACCCACCAGAGTACCTGTTTAATATTGAGCAGTGAAGAGACATGGTAAGGGAGTGGGAATATAGTTAGTGGCAGAGCACTTGCCTAGCACATGGACAGGCTCTGGGTTCAATCTTCAGCAACACCAAAAAAAAAAAAGTGGAAAAATTTCTACTTTGATTTGCCAGAATAGCAGGATGTGAGGTACATTTGCTTTTGCATCTTAATTTCCTCTTAGTTTGTGTCTATGAAGACACAATGTGTATTATTTAATAAGATAAACTTCAGCCAGATACCAGTGACTCATGTCTGTATCCTAGCTACTTGGGAAGCTGAGATCCAGTGAACAGTGTTCCAGGCCAGCCTGAGAAGGGAATTTAGGAGATCCCATCTCAACCAACAGCTGATGACAGGCATGTACCTGTCATCCCAAACTATGCAGAGGCTGAAATTCAGAGGATACAGGTCACAGGCTAGCCTGGGCAAAAAAACTTTTTGAGATTCCATCTTACTGGAGAAAAGCCAGGCATAGTGTGCGCTCCTGTCATCCCAGTAAACAGGAGGATCAAGATGTAGGCCAGTCAGGACAAAAAGCAAGACCCTATGTCCAAGATAATCGGAGCAAAAAAGGATGGAGGCATGGCTTAAGCAGTGGATCACCTGCCTAGCAAGCATGAAGCCTTGAGGTCAAGCCCCAGTATGGGGATAAAGGGGTGTAAACTTTGCTGTGACTGAGATAGATGTCTGTGTTTTGTTTTGGCAGTACTGGAGATTGAACTCAGAGCCTCACACTTCCTAAGCTGACACTCTACTGCTTGTGGAGACTCTGCCTCCACAGATATCTGTGTTCTTAAAATGAGTTTCTCAAAAAAAAACATGGTGGAAGGAGACCAAACTGGGTTCCAATGTTTATTAGTTCATTGAATTACCTTAAGCAGGTTGCTTTAACCTCTCAGCCACCAGTGTCCTCATTTTAAGATGGGAATACTACTAATTATAACATACAATCACTGCAAGTACTGAATGAGGATTTCGTAATGAATAAGACAGCCTTTTCAACTACTGGGCAGGCACTTATAAAGTATGTTTAATCATAAAGTATGTTTAATAAACATCAGATACTTAAAAAGAAAAACTTGTAAAACAAACCAGTATACTGAAACCAGTAGTTTCACTCCTGTTGCTTTAGGAACAGAAAAATATTCTTAAAGGTTAAATCATTAAGGAGGAATAAAGGAATGTATCCCACTATAACAAATGCCACTGAAAAGAAATACGCCATATAAAGAAAATTTTAAAACCCTTAATGGGTTCAACTAATGAAAAGTATGTATAGCACTTTGAAGGGTAATCTCTCCCTGATATTCTGAAGCAGAGCCACAGAGTCTAAGTCTATATGCAAAATTATTTATTTTTCTCATGAGTGGCTCCTAAGGTTTCAGCAGAAATCTTTAAAAAGTACAGTATCCAAGAGGGGCTTTGACTAACTGCTCTATTCAAATAAAATGACATTATTACTATTTTGCAATGCTGGGGATCAAACCCAGGGTCTCACACATACCAGGCAAGCGCTATACTCAGCACAAGATGGTATTATTACTCGTGAAGTAAAAGATAAAATGAATGTCAAGCCGCACTAAGTAATTTGGACCACACACCGAAACACTTTAGAGTATGTAAAGCCTCTGCCCCTGCTCTGTGGCCAAGGCATGAACTAATGACACTTCAGCACCCAGTGCTGGCCACACACAAGCCTCAGGAGCATCACCGAGGGTGTGGGGTGAAGAGCACAGAACCTGAGTTGGGAGGGGATTGCTGACAGCTCATCAGCCTCAGCGTTTTGACAGATGGGGCTGCAGGGTCCTGCCTATTAAAGGGGCAGTGTTGAAGGTTCTAAGGCCTTGGTTCAAATAAAAACCATGAGCGTTAGTAATTTCCACTGTGTCCTTCAGTACTCGACTTTCCTCCTTTGTATAGTCGGTCTATTGGGTACTTCACGTTGCATATGTACATATATATTTAGGGGAGGCAGTGCTGGGAATTGAATTCGGGGCCTGTACGTGCTGCTCAAGTGCTGTACCGCTGAGCAACATCCCCAGTCCTGACCAATGTATTTTAAGTATGTACACTGCCCTACAGATTTGTATTAGAGATAACAAAGAAAGGGCTTAGCCAATACTGACAATACAGGTGCCTGATTAACAAAAGCTAAGGAGACTTGCTGAGACTTTCTCCCAGAGCTGGACGCACCCGCATGAAATGCTGAAGACAACGTCACTATCATACAGCTTTTTAAAATTCTGAACTGTTTCCCAATATGATGCCAAGAATCTCTTCTGAACAACTCAGAGCTTCGTATCTCACAGTTCATCTTCAATGAAATTAGAATCCTTAAAGCTGAGGGTCCTTCTCATTTAAGTCCTTCCCTCAAATGAGTCTCTCTGTCCCTACCACCATTCACTCAATAAATATTTACTAAGCACATGTACAGTGTTAGAAAACACAAGGAAGATAGAAATGTGTATCATTCTTTTTAATTCAGTAGGCACAGTGGAATGAAGTTCCATTCAGCGAGCCTCTAATGAATGTTTCCTGCAT